TTAATATTTAATTTCAAAGAAATGTGTTCATTTTCCTAGGAACTCGTAACCTTAACAGCTATTGGAATTCATGTATTACTTTTAAAATTTGTTATTTTATGGAGAGTTAAATTTTATTTTTATATTACTTGCCCTCTGATTAAGGATATTCACAAAGTAAAGAAATTAATGTTATTTATCTATTTTTTACCAAATTAGTAAAATTCTCCATGGTTGAAATGAATGGCTTTACCTTCTTACACCCTCTAGTTTTCCATACTTAGGCTGGGTAAAATAATGATGATGACAAAAAAGTGAACTACCTCATTTTTAACATGGTGTTTAACATGGTGCTAAGAGTAACTTCACTATAGAAAGCAATCTTTTCTCTTGTCTTTTAATTGGCTGTGAAACTGTGCACTATAAAGACCAAATAAATCAATTTGACTCTTCCTATTACCCAACCTCCTTGAATTGATCAGAAAGTAGAGTTGTTTCCTAGATCACTTCATCTGTTTTATAAGTTAAAACATGATTTATATTCATATTTCTCTTTATCCATTCATTTTCCCTGTATTTAAGACCACAGTATTTTAGGTGTTGGAAATTTTATTTAAAAATAACAAAATTTTCCCTTCTCCTCTCTCTATATTTATAAGCATATATATATATATATGATGTTACATTTTATACATATATATATATATATATATATATATATATACTTTATCTCTGTACTGACACTTAGGTGAATATAAAACACAATCTTGTTTCATATGTAACTAACTGTGTATATCAGTTATAGTGGTTAGTAGCCACCAGGGGCCCATTTATTCAAAGATTACTGTGCTTTATAGCAAATAGTACTGCATTGCCTAAAAAAGTTGATACACCTCTCAGGGTGCGACTCATGTTTCCAAAAATCATCAGTCAGATACTCAGATAATGCATTAAATCGTAATGTGGCTTGGATACAGGAATCCAGAGAGCTCATTTTACTGTCAAGATTTTGTAAATTGATCTTTTTTTTTCTTATTTGTTTCACACAGGGGATTCAGTGACAAATGAAATAAACAAGCAAAACAGTCTGACTTGTTAGTTTCATTGAATTTATTAATTATGATGAGTTGAGTATAAAGTACAGAGTTGTATGTAAATACAGGTGCACATATTTGAGTTTAAAAATATCTGCTTAATAAAATTCATTGCCTAAAATTAGTTGCCATATGGATTGTAAAATTGAATATTGTTCTTATATTTATAGAAAAGGAGGAATTGAATTAGTTTTAGAAAATTCAAGAGGTAACTTTACTGAAAATATTAAAAATTTTGTTAAATAAGGAAAACTGGATGATTTACAAACAATATCTTTAAAAGACCTTTCACTTAGATAACATTCATTTTCAGGGATAAACTATTCATAGTTGTAACGGTATAGGCGATTGTAATCACATACCTTTTTGTTAACCATAAGTATAAAATAACCTAGGGTGTAACTTTATTATATATTTACAAATTGAAATGTCATTCTGTAGTTAGTTATGATTGTTATTTGAAGTACAAAGATAAGATGTCATTAATATACATTGATCATCTAAGTGTTTGATCTTGATTTGGGGTAAGACTGTATCTAAAAACTTTTTCTTGCACAAAAATTACACAATGTTCTTTAAGGATCTCTTGTTCAAATTAGAAGTAACGTGAATATAGCATTTTGTTTTTATTAAAGTTTGTTGGGGTTACAATGGTTATTAAAGTTACATAGCTTTCAAGTGTACAATTCTGTAATACATCATCTGTATATCACATTGTGTGTTCACCATCCATTATTTAGATTTTCCTAAGAGGAAAAATATATATCTAGTGATACAAGACACATTATTGGTTAGATTACATCTTTTTTACTTTTTTTGTTTTCAAACTTTCCTGTAAGGAATTTTTGTTGCTTTTTTTTTGTTACAAAATTAAATATTAAGAAAAATATTAGAGTGGAAATCCTTTTGTTTCTTCACTAGTCATTGCTAGTAAAAACTACGAAAGTGAAAAAGGCTTCATTGATTTCTTGTGTTTCATTCTACCAATCCTCTTTCCCTATCACAGGCACCATATCCCAATCACGTTCTTTCTCTTTCTCTCTTTACACACACGAGTACTTCCGACTATACTCTGTTTGTCCCAAATGGTGAAAGAATAGATTCTATTTCACTCTGTACATCAACCAAACCCCTACAGCAATAGAAGTCTTCATTGTGTTCTTGACTCAGCACCTTGGGAGTATAAATATAGTGGAGATCAATACATATAGGTAAGTAATCAAAAAGAGTTGACTCTTCAATGTACACTGTCAATCATGTAATGAAACTAAATTTACACAGAAGAATTAAATTGTTTATACATCTATAGTATCCTTTTTTAAATAAAAATTATATTAAGGTGTGTAACATTTTGATATACTGCATCTATAGCATGCTGATCAATTTTTTCATTAGGTTGACATTATTTCTTTAAAAAATGTAAATTACATAGCATCTGCTTTTGCTTTACTTTTTGAGTATTGTTTCTAGAATTTAATATTTAGATGATGGAGAAACAAGGATAAGTAAGGCAGACATTGTGTATGCCCTCATGGAATTTATTTCTAGTAGGGAAGACTGACAAAAATAATGTTAGGTAAAATAAATGATAAAAGTTTTCACAAATTTTATGGAGGAAACAATAAATGCATCGAGATAGAGAATAACAGGAGGGACATGCTATTTTAAATGTGAGGAATGCCTATATGGGGAGTCACATTTAAGCCACATTCTTAGGGAAGAGAAAGAGCTAATTGTGCAGAGTGAGAAGTGCATTTTAGGTAGAGAGAACTGCCTGGGCACTGACTTTGAAGGGAAATGAGTTTGATGCATTTGAAGAACTGAATCCATTGTAACGAGCTTACCAGGAAAGGAAAAGAGAACGGCAATGTAAGGTGTGAAAGTTAGCCAGGAACCATATCCCAGAGAAGAATCAGAGAAGAAAAAGATCCATCGTAAGGAGTTGTGTTTTAATATTATTCCAGATATAATTGGAAGCTGTTGAGAGACTTTAACCAATTTTTATTTTAGGAGCATTGTAGCTAGTGAGCAGAGAGATTAGAAGATGGCAAGAGTAGAATTAGGAGCCTGTTGGGATTGTCCAGGAGAGAGGTTATAGTAGCCTGGCCTAGAGTAGTGGAGATGTAGAGAAGAAGATGGATTTGAGATGCATTTTGGAGGTAGAATTTATGGGACCATCTTATCTTTACAGAGAAATAAATGTAGATATTGAACATTTAAATCATTTTTTTCCCAAGGAACCAAATTTTCCATTACTCCTGGTAACAATGACCTTGCTATGTAATTATTGGTAATAGAAAGGGATAGGAGGGATGGGGTGGATTGCTGTTTTCCATTTTATTGAGCTCAAATTATGATTTAAAATATCTTCATAGTACACTCAGATCAACAAATGCCATTTGTTAATGCATTTCTGACTTGATAATTCACCATTTCAGGGCGAATAATGGCACAGGTGGGTGAGGACATCCTCACCAAGCAATATGATATAATCCAGCAGAGTCAAGTTTATAGCTAATAAAGAACAATATTTAGAATTTTGGTGTATGTACCAGTTTTATTTATCTCTGTGATGTCAGGTTACTGTTATTGAAAACAAAAAAAAAATCTGGGTGATGGTATAAAATAGGTCTGTTTTCAGATATTTTCTATGAGTCTCCTTTTCTCTTTGCATTTGTTTAAATGAAAAGAAACAAAGCTTCAGAAAGTTTATGAGACCCATAAAGTTAGATTTTAGGATATGTGATATTTTGGGTGGCAAGGACAAGGGAAGAAACTGTTAGATTTTCCACTGAACAGCAGAAAATGGCATGTAATTTTTAAAAAAATTTCCCTGACCAGTTAATAATTCATTACTTTGAGTTGCCCTTTAATAATTTTATAGGAATGCAATTATTAAATATATAGAAACATAAAGTCCTAATGTAGCAACAGTCCTATATACTTAGTGTATATTTAGAAAATTCATATTCTGGAGATGCTTCATTTAAATATTTCCATATATTCTTATATATTCAAACATAGTAAATCTTGCAATTTACTTTAGTGCTTAGAATGTTCTTGAAAATACTATTTTTATGGTTATTCCCTTCAATAAACATTATGACTTCTTATGAGATACATAATTTTAGTTTTCAATGATGAATATTCTAAAACTGAGTAAAACCATTCACTTTTTTAAACAGATATTTATTGAAGTCTTACTATTTGTTAGGAAGTGTACTTAACTTATGTAAGGGTTCAAGGAGAACTTTCCCTTTCAGAATATATGATCCAGTGAAGGGTTTTCAGCCTTTTTCGAGATCTGGCAAGAAAACTTCATTTTCTTAAAATTACATCCAAAATCAAGGAGAAAACCTTTAAAAACATTTTTGTTAAATACGATAACATGTAACAGTACTGTTGATCAACCCTTATAAAATATTTATGTAATGTTTATTTGAAGATAACACCTATTCATTATATTTTATTTCAAAGTTAAATTAAGTCCCTCAACATTAAGTATATTAAGCATCTTCCTTGTGTCAGGCGTTTGCTAGGTTCTTAGGCTATAATGATGATTATATAGTAGTTTAGATAATCTGCTCTGTTGATATTATATATCTTTGAGTAATTGATATTCTTTAATTACTTGATATTTATAAGATGATGAATTTTATAGTAAATGAGATTATATGGGAGAGAGAGAGTAAAGAAATACTACCTATCTTTTTATGTGTTTTAGTGGTAAAGTTGAATTTTCTAATATTAGTTATATTAGTTTTATGGATGGGTATACATTTTATTTAATCACATAAACAGAAAACATAAATATGCATTTTAAAAACATGTTCATGTGTATAAATTAAATATTTCCCATATGTAATAGTATTCCATTGACTGATATGTGGAGTGAGCTTAAGCTCACTGGTTCATTAGNCCCCGCTCCCCTCCCCCAAACCACAGCCCGAGCTCGCTCCTGCGCGCGCGCTCTCCCGGGCCCTAGTGAATAGTCCTCGCGCGAGCGGGACACGGTGGTGGATGCAATTCCTCTCGCCTACCGCCGCCCGGAGCTCCCTGGCGCCGCAGGCAGCGTCCTCCTCCGAAGCAGCTGCGCCTGCACCTGGGCAGCCTGGACCTTCGTGCCCTGCCCTCGGGGCCTCGCGCGGGGGGCGCCCCGGGACACCCCCTGCGGGCCGGGTGGAGGAGGAAGAAGAGGAGGAAGAAGACGTGGACCAGGTCCCCCTCCCCTACACAGAACACCTGGCTGCGCTGCCGCCACTTCTCTTTAAGGGGGAAGCGCGGAGGGCCGGGGAGAGCCATGGGGGGCTGCGAAGTCCGGGAATTTCTTTTGCAATTTGGTTTCTTCTTGCCTCTGCTGACAGCTTGGCCAGGCGACTGCAGTCACGTCTCCAACAACCAAGGTAAGGGACGGGGCGGAGACGCGGGCGCGGGCGGGAGGAGGCTTTGGTCGCCTCCCGCAGGTAACTTCGTCCCGGAGTAGGCTGTTCCGGGCTTCGCCCCACGAGGGGTTCCAGGGTGTCTCCTCGCCAGAGCAACCTGTCCACAGTGACAGCGGCCGGCGATCTCACCAGCTGAGGTCCTTACTGCTTCCAAACATCTTTCAGGGATGCGTGAGCATCAGCAGCGTTTGAGTCCCGCCGCTGGCGGCCGCGGGACCGCTCTCCGCTGCGCTGTGTCCACCGGAGGCCAGTCCGTGTGGCAGAGGCTTAATGGAGACTTCTGCCTCTTGGCGGTTGTTCCTAGCTCGGTAACGTGTGTGTAGGGTCTCCCACACGCCTCAGGAAAGCAGGTCGCTCCTGCTCTACCATGTGGCTAGATGCCAGCCTTTGCCTCCGGTACCTGCCGCCCTTGCCCCATTCACACCGAATGTAGACTTGTTAGAAATTATTCCTAGACTAGATGCCCACAGGTCTGTGCTTGTGGTTTCTCTTTCTTGTGGGCGCAAGGGGGTGGAGGGAGATAACCGCTAAGTGTGACTGTCCAAGTTGTGAAGATGCTATTCGTAAAGTCGAGTCTTTGGCAGATTTTTTTTTTTTGAAGGAAGACTGTTTCTGTAGGTAAAGTGGTAAAATGAATGTGAATAGTGTGTGAGAAATGAAATAAGGTTTACCAAATGGAACGCACTTAGAATTCTTAAACATTTCATTTCTTTCTGTCAAACAATCTTTATGAGACATATCTCAGTGGATTTTTGCTGTGATTATTTAAAGGTCTATTAAAAAATATAACCTGCGTCATATAAATCGTCTTAGACTAAGCAACGAACAACGATAAAAGTTTCCTAGCATGTACCTGGCCCAATGCTTTCACTGGCAATGTGATGACCACCAATATGTCACCTGTTTTGTCACACTTTTCTCAAAACTTCAATTATAGTTACTATTTAACATATAAGTCCTCGAAATAATTTGCAGATATAAAAATGGAGATCAGATGATATAAGAGTGTGCATTTTTTTTTGTGAGGGTGCATTTTTTTTGTGAGAGAGAAGGCAAGTAAAAACATTCTTCTTTTTTTGTCATATGACCATTTAATTTTTAGAAATATATTAGAATCAATAATTCAATTCTCATTTTTACAGTTGGTACTTTTGGCATTTTTCCCTAATTATTTCTGGTTTCTGTTTGTTTGTTTATTTGTTTCTTACCTGCCAGATTTAGATCACAAACACATATGTAAATTTGGAAATCATACATCCCCGTAGTGCCTTTGAAGATGTATCACATAAGTGCCCCTTATAGTGCCGTACTCTCTTAGGGCCCATGGCAGTGGATAAATTCACACAAATCCCTCATTTGTTTTTAAGGGCTATTGGCATTAAACATTGAAGGAGTAGTTAACTTAATATACCTCTGTAAAAATAGAAGATTACTAAAAATAACGTGTATTTACTTGGTCTTTTTACATGGTGAGGAGAGAAAAACGACTTTTAATAATTGGAAAGTCAGGCATTTATTTTGTAGTTTATGTTAGTATCTAGGGCTGCTAAAAAGATTTATACTTTGAGAATAAAGTTTACGAGAAGTATATAACAGTTTCCATGCAATTGTTTCCGTCAGTTAACATTTATTTATTCATTTAGTGCCTCTGAGACACCAGTAACCACCCTAGACTCTGAGGATACTAACATAAATAAAACACATATCTGAATCTGCAATTGACTAAAGTTTCATTCTACCAAAATCTATCAAGTGTTAAAGTATGACCTTTCAGATATTCATATTAAATTTAAGGGCTTAGAAGAGTTACTTGTTAATTTGCTGCAGTGATTTTTATTTATTTTGATGACTTTCTCAAACTTTTAAAGGACATTTTACCTAAAATATTTACCAATGATATATAATTTGTGGGTGTTTTATCAACTAGCTTAATGTTAGTGAATAAGTATTACTCAGTTTACTCATCTGTTAAATAGGATCATTAAAGATAGCCTACTGAAAGTCTGAATTTGAATTAATATACTAAAAACACAGGCTACGTATAAGGTTACAGTTGGATAAAATATTACCTAACGGCTAAGTTGGGTAAAATGTAGGAGTTCTTCAAAAGAAAATAATAGAGAAAATGTGCTCAGATTTTTTTTATCTGACAAAAATGATTGCTTATAAATGCTTTTCACAACTAAATCATAGTGATTAGAAAGTACATCTTATAATACTTTGGGTTAACTTTCAAATACCAAAATTATCATAGTAATGGTTAATAACATCATAATAATAGTTAACAAAATCTCAAAATATTATTCTTAAGAACATTTGGGGGATATTTTCTTAATTTGTAGTTTCATAAATAGATAACATGAATCAAAATATATCTTACCAATTTTTAAACATTGAAAACATGGGGCTTTACAGAATTATAGTATGTATAAAATATAGAAAGATTAATGTAAAATATAAGTTAGATTTCTAATACACATAATAATTATCCGTAATATGATTAATATTTAATTTCAAAGAAATGTGTTCATTTTCCTAGGAACTCGTAACCTTAACAGCTATTGGAATTCATGTATTACTTTTAAAATTTGTTATTTTATGGAGAGTTAAATTTTATTTTTATATTACTTGCCCTCTGATTAAGGATATTCACAAAGTAAAGAAATTAATGTTATTTATCTATTTTTTACCAAATTAGTAAAATTCTCCATGGTTGAAATGAATGGCTTTACCTTCTTACACCCTCTAGTTTTCCATACTTAGGCTGGGTAAAATAATGATGATGACAAAAAAGTGAACTACCTCATTTTTAACATGGTGTTTAACATGGTGCTAAGAGTAACTTCACTATAGAAAGCAATCTTTTCTCTTGTCTTTTAATTGGCTGTGAAACTGTGCACTATAAAGACCAAATAAATCAATTTGACTCTTCCTATTACCCAACCTCCTTGAATTGATCAGAAAGTAGAGTTGTTTCCTAGATCACTTCATCTGTTTTATAAGTTAAAACATGATTTATATTCATATTTCTCTTTATCCATTCATTTTCCCTGTATTTAAGACCACAGTATTT